TCATATAAAGACTTTTCAAAAAGCGGAGGGTTGTCATTGACGTCGGAGATCTGAACATTAACCATTCTTGTTGAAGTGAGCCTAGGAGAGCCCCAGTCAATGGCTGTGATGGTGATGTTGTACTCAGCAAGGGTCTCTCTGTCTAGGGGACTTTGCAGCACAAGCTGATAAAAGTTATTTGTGGTGGCTTTCAACACAAATGGGAGATTCATCTCCACGGAGCAGACTGCTTTGCTGTTGTCTCCAGAGTCTTGATCTCTAACACTGAAGAGCGCCACCATTGTGTCTGGGGGAGAATCCTCCTTTAAGATGCTGGTCAGAGATATGATGGACACTTCTGGGGGGTTGTCATTCACGTCTTCTATTTCTATATGTATCTTGCAGTGCCCGGAAAGCCCCCCACTATCTGTTGCTTTGATGCTCATGCTATAACTTTTTTCTTTTTCATAATCAATCTGTCCCCAAAGGGTGATTTCTCCAGAACTTTCATTCAAAAGAAACAAATTATTTATTCTTTCAGACACTTGATCAAGTGAATAGAGGATCTGTGCATTTGAACCAAAATCAAGATCTGTAGCTTCCACTTTAGTCACCAGAGTTCCCTTAATAATGTTTTCCTTTATTTTTACCTTATATTCAGACTTACTAAATTGAGGAAAGTTATCATTAATATCTAGAACACTGATATTAATTTGCATTGTGCCTGTTTTCTGCGGTATCCCTCCATCAATAGCCATCAGAATCAGTCCAAGATGTGGCATCTTCTCCCTATCTAGTGTTTTTTTCAAAGCAAGATACATATTTTTACTTCCATCTTCCTGCTTATGTACTTCAAGCTGAAAATGCTCATTGGGGCTGAGAGTGTAGTTTCGAATGCTATTCTCTCCCAGGTCCTCATCTTGAGCGGATTCCAAGCGGAATGTTGTACTTTTAGGAACATTCTCGGGAATGTCCATCTCCACTTCGTTTTTCCAAAATTTGGGAGCATTGTCATTCACATCTTCTATCTTGATTTCAATTTTAAAGATATCTAAGGGGTTTTCCAGCACAATTTGAGATAGAAGTAAACAAGGGTCATTCTGGCCACATAAAGCTTCTCTGTCTATTTTATCATGAATCAACAGATTCCCGGTAGGGATGTCAAGGTGGAAATATTCCTGAGTGCCATCAGAAACTAGACGGGCTTTGCGTGTTGCGAGTTCCCCTGTTTTCAGTTTCAAATCTTTAAGGACATTAGCCACCAGAAACCCCTTTTGCTTTTCTTCAGGGATAGAGAAACAAATTGAAGTACACATTACTTTAGAGAATGAGAAAAAGAGAAGGAAATACAGACCTTGTCTCCTCCAACAGCAGTTTTCCATGATTTCAATCTCTTCCTTACAAGATCAAATCCTGCCCCAGTGCAAAATTTCTGGCTTCCTTCTTTTACAATTTAATTCTGCAAATCCTTTTTTATTCTTCTTTATTTGTTGCTTTTCTCTATCAACTTATCTGATTCCCGTCTTGTTCAATTTTATCTATACACTGTATAGCTTTTCTAGTGTTGAAATTAAACAAGATGCAGGATAGAATTGAATTTCTTTGTTAATACTGCCACCACGTGGTTCATCCTGAGAAAAACATAGTTTTAGTCTGGTCCCAGAATGATAGTGTTAGACTCAATTCATCCTTATCTACCTATCATATAACAAGTTGGCCATCCAAACATAAGGCAATTATTCTTCCAATTATGTTAATAAAAACTCAAAGAAACAGAACAGTTACCAGCACAATACATTTCACATTTTGTTCCTGCAGGTACTTTCAAGGTATACTTTTGAAGAACTATTTCATCAACCCATCAAATTCCCCACTTATACTAAACACACTGGGTATCCTTTTAAGGTCAATATTATCCAGAAGGTAACCTCATATTTGGTCTTCTTCCTCCATGTCTCCTCATGCTGTAAAAAGTGCATTTTTTTCTTAGTAACTCACCCTGAACTCTGTAGTTCTCAAAGTTCTGGTCAATTCACAACAGATTTTTAGAGTATTCTTTTTCTGACATTTTTCTAGGAGAATTTTTCTACATTACTCCAATTTCTTCATACTTTTGTATATGCTCACAACATTGTTTCCAGCATCCATAGAGTTGATATATCTAAGTGCTGAATCATATTTTTCTACTACACTTCTACAACTCAGAGATGAAATTTGAATGTAAGGTACATTACAAAACTTTTTATTTACAGTCCATATACTAAGGAAATCATTCAACTATCCACTAACTTCCAAAGGGCATATGTTATGTCTATAGCAAGCACACTGATTGTAGTTGAGAGGGATATTGAAGCAGTATCTTGTAAGTTCTTTTATTTTGACTTAGGGAAAGTATTTTTCAGATTCAAGGACTATAAAGGGTCAGATGCAGGGAGCGTGATCTCTGGGTGGTGGTAGATGTGTGGTCACACCTTGGAGGACAGCAAGAAAAGTAATTTGTCAGTTGGTAAAAAAACATCCCAGCATTTCCTACCCACTAAACTATATAGAACAAAGCAGAATAAATACCAGTTTAGGAACTAAAATACATGTAAATCATACAAATCTCTAGAAACTGGTATTGAAGTACCTCAATAGACAATATCTCATTTTTTCCCCCTGTTTTCTGAGTCATTCAAGATGTTTGGGTTTATAACTTAATTACATCAATAGATTATTTTCACCTGAGATAGCTGCTCCCTTTCCTCCAATTCATTAGGGAAATCATGGGAATAATTTCTAATCTGTGAATTCAATAGTGTTTTAGGTTGCTCCATAGCAAAAACAGGAAAGAAAGGTCTAAGGAATTTGAACTCACTGCTCAGAGTGCCATTAGCTAAGCATACTTAATAGCTATAGGCCTGGGAAGGTGTCCCAGTGTCAGGATCTATGCAAACCAGAACCTTCAATTGTTTTACTTTTGCTTTTATTGCTAACCATAGATCAATAGTGAAATAATGGAATT